TTGGGCAAACATCAGTGTCTGTGCCCGTGTGCCAGTATTTAAAGTTTAATGGGATCATTTGTATAAGGTATGGAACATCACAAGAGGCTACAGTTTTGCTTGTATCTTCACATCTTTAAGGGTGAATGTGTTTGGTGAGGTGTACATTCTGTTCTGTTTCTTACCTGTAAGCGGTTTGAATGCCACTATGATATTTGAGCATTTATGTATCTTTTCTACTGAAATCAAAAGAATGCCACATCAGATATGAATTCATGAAGAAATTTTGCAGTTTTTTTTTCTTCCAGGTGGTCTGATACTACATGAGCACAACCTCTGGTGAGGACAAGGAAGCAAGACTGTAGGAAGAATTTCTGGACGAGAACAGCTGTATGACTTCACTACCAGGTCAGTCTAGAGGTGTAATGGTTTGGTTTTTTCTTCCTCATTTTTTTTTTATTAATTTTTTTTGTGCAGGTAGCTTTATTTCATTATACTTCTGCATGAATTAGGCCACTCAGTAATTTGGATTGCACTTGCACTGGGTTTTTATTTGATTACCGTGTGAACGCGCATTGTTTACTTTGCTTTTGTTTTATGTTTTTCCTGATACTTACTGAAAGCTCTAAACCCAAGTAAATGACAAGTTCAGTAAAAACTCAATCTTGCTTTTGTGCTGCAAAAGCCCATTCAAGGCTTCATAAGCCCCTCAAAATTGATTTTTGGAGCACTGTTATTTAATCTGTCCTTCAGAAAACTTTAATGCCTTGGGCAAATCCTTCTTGCCTTATTCCCACCACTAGGTTCTCCGACTTCATGGCAGGCAGATAAATGTAAGACACAGAAAAGCAGTGCAGTCCTTAGTAATTCTCTTAAGTTGTCTACTCTCCCTTTCTCATTGTTGAATAAAACCTCCTGTGTAAACACTATATTTTGCTCTCTCATGGCATGCAGACTTTTTCCCATTAGTCTCTCGCTCTTCCCCACCTGCTACATCTGACTCATTAGCTCATTTTTAGCTGTTTTTCACCTTTTCCTTCCCCAAAGCAATATATTTAAAGTTCAGGGAATTGTTCTTATTCTCAGCATACTTTCTCCCCGCATATCTAACGCAGTGCAACTTTCCTCTCTGGCTCAGTGGCTCCAACTTCAATATTTTCTTGCAGAGTTCACTATTTAAAATGAGGTCTATGGCAGAGATGGTGGAGGGAATTAGTGGGGTAGCTGTGGTCCAGTCAATATATTAATGCAACCTTGTCAGCTTACCATTACATTGTCATCTGAACTGCAGCAAGCCATAACAACCCAATGTAGTGTTCCAACACCACAGCTCTTGCACATGAGACTAGCTACAAAACAACATCAAGTAGCATCTGAGTCAATTTTTCTTCCATGTGAAATCCTTCTGAGAGTTTGCTGTCAACCACTAATTTACATGCAAATGAGTAGGCAGAAGGAAATCCAGTAAGGCTGAATACAGAAAAAAATAGTATTCTGACTTCACACGTCTTGTATGAGTGGCCTGAAGTACCATATGGCCCTGACTACAGACGGAGTTGGATGCTCATGCTGCATTCAATGCATTTAGGTTCAGTCTATAAGATGGAATGAAGCTTAAAAATGCCCATTGTTTAGGAGTTTTGAAGCAGTGTTGATTTTTTTTTAAACAGAAGCTTTAATATTATTATTGTTCCTCATTAGCATATATTTTCTTCATTAAAAGTTTTCAAAGAAGTAAAACAGCTAATGTAGATAACTACAAAACCCCAAGAACCTACAGTTATGTAAAAACTAGCAGTAAGTGCTGGCAGTAAGTAGCCTAAGTAGTTAGTACTGATTTCCACATTATTTATACTGTAATGGCCTTTAAACAATAATTCAGTAGTGATTATGTTGTCATCTGTCTTCTAATGAAATGTTTGTCCTTACCAGCTGCACCTTGTATTTGTTATATTATAATCATTGTTCTGAAACTTCTTAGTAACTATCAATCAACAGAATAGAAAACTAGCTTAAATATCTTTAAAATAGTCACATTTAAAACTTCCTTTTTTTTTTTTTTTTCCAAATTATTTCTTTTGCTGAAGAACCTTATGTTTTGAGTGATTGTCACATATAAATGGCAAGGTCAATCTTGGTTAGACTAAACTCAACAGCAAAACACCCACTGACTTAATTTTACCCTAGAGAAGATATGTGGGAAAGAACGTGAGAGGAGCATAAGGATTTCAGCCACAGAATGGGTTTGGAGCTTTCGTATCAGTGAGAAATGGCAGATAGATCAACTGATGGTTTTTCTCAAGGTGAGGGACGGGATCTTGCTTGTAAGGAAATTACTTCATTGTTATTTCTTGCTATCTTAAGTGCAGAAATAGCGGCCAAACTGCAGGCTTCAGCCTTCTGGTGAGTCAGTTGTCTTGGTGGCCTATAGTAAATGATTGTTTGTTTAAAATATAAGAAAAATGTGAAAGCCACAGAAAAAACAAGTGCTATCAATTGCTATCAACCACTACATATTGCTAAAATCTTCCACTGCGGATAAACAAAGTCTACCAGTTACTGAATCTACAGACTGGATTCTGTTGCAGTCACCTAAGTCTGGGATTAGTTCTGTGGGAAGCAGAGCTCTACTGTTGTGCAGATGGGACACTTCGGTTTTGAATATTTTCGGTCTGGCACCTTGGTAAATTTTTCAAGAGCCAGAACGGAGTTTATAGCTGCAGCTTACAGGAGAGTACATGTAATCAATATGTGTACAATGGCACTTGAGGTTTGCTGCATATCTCAAGTGTTAATGTGATGCAAGTGAGTTCAGCTACCCAAAGCCACTGATCCTCCATGAAGAGAGCAAAGAGCTGTGTTGTCTCTGTGCTGTCAGGACACGGAAATTAGTTTAGACATAAATGGAAGGGATGGCATCCAGAGACTAATGAATACTGCATGTAAGCTGGCAAAAATTAAAAATAATTTCATCTCCAGAACAAAAAATGTGGTACAATTGCACTCATGACAAGCATGAATACTTTTCCACACCTACAGTCCTGTTAGAAAACAAACAACAGGCATTCTGTGCCATGGACTTCCTGGCTGGATTACTTTTTTCAGAACATGGTTGTGTTTTAAAGCTTTTCTGGATTATGAAATCAAAAGCTTTCTTCGTTTTTCTAGAGATGAACCAAAGACTGGCAAGGGGAATGTTTAGTGACAATCCGCAGAGTTTTGGAGGTGCGCTTTTCCAGATGTCTTGGTATTTCTGAACTGTCAGTAACATTTTTACTTTTTAACACTTTTAAATCACGATTTCAGTTTCACTGCAGTGGTAAACGCTCCACACAAGCTGTGTTTTGTAACAGTAAAAGTCACTGTTAATGCGGGGCTCTGCAGTGTGGGGCTTTTCTATGCCCAATAATACTGTGTGCGTGTGTATGTACGTGTGTGTTCAGGACATTAATGCATGAGTGGTTTTGTAAGTATTGGTCTGGATTTCAGTTCAGTTCTTGCCTGCCTTGTTGTGATGTGAATGTTGCAGCTACTCCTGACTTACATCTCTAAATTACAGAGTTATTATCAGGCATACATATAACTTTTATACTAAGTAACTACTATAACTCTGCGTGCCATCATGATGTTAAAATTACCAGTAAAGAAGTAATCATCTTTGCATTTTGCTCACTTTAGCTCACACTGAAGTGTGTGGAAGGCCAGGTTGCTTCATGGCTTGTGTAGCAGCTATTGCAAAAGCTAGGACTGACTTCCATCATCAATGCCATCACCAACTTAGCACCTTGTAGTTACCTAGGCATGCTCCCAAAATCTGGCTGTTGTCTGTCCCTCTGACAATATCCTTATTGCACATGTAACAGATTATAGTTTTTTTTCCCCATAGAAAAGCACAGCCTCTCTCAAATGAAAGAAAACACACAGAGGTGTGATTTCATGGGTTGCAACTTGAGATCAGTGTTATGATTTCATGGAAAGAAGCAGCGCTCTGGACAGGTTGGTTTGGAAATACAAATGCACCTGCTAAGAGAAAGTGGCAGGAGAGGAAAAGAAGCAGCAGCAGAGCTTTCACTCAGATGGGTTCTGTGAGAGCTCCGCGTAGCCCAGCAGATGCTTGGCTTTTAAATAAGTGTTTCTGAAGCACCTTACAACAGTTTAGCTCCATCTGTGATTCAGTTTTCTCCACAGCAGCGGCCAGCCCCACCAGCTTCCTTCTGCAAGGAGAGGCATGTTCCTTTAGGCAAAATGTACTGTGAGGAGAAGCAAATTCCTCAAATTGAGCAGGCCGAGCAGCGCATTGATGACACTGCCAAGGAAAGGACAGAAGTATAGGCTATTCTTTTTAAGAAAGAAAACATTTGGTCGCAGCTAAAAGCTGAGAACACCTGAATCCAGTGTTCCACGTACGAAAGCAAGGAAATCTGGAAACCGACGCTATTTTGGGCTCACTGCATTTCGTTGGGTTTTGGGGGAGCGCTGCATAGTAGCGACTGTGGGCAAACCACTACATAGTTCTCTGCCTGAACCATCTGTCGTGCACGCGGGACATATGCTCGCCTTACTCGTGCGGGAGCCCAGTGAAAGCCGATACAGGCGGGCCGGGCCGAGCACCGCGAGCCGCGGCAGCACCGCCCCGGGGCGCCGCCACACGCACCGGACGCCTCCGCCTATCGGTCACCTCGAGAGCCCTCCCGCAGCGCCCGGGCTGCCCCGCCGGAACAGCTCCCTGCCCGCGGCGGAGCTCCGTCCCAGTTTCCCCGGTCAAACTTTCCCAGCCGTCGGCAGCACCTGCGCGCATCTCCCGGGCGAGAGGCAGCACCGCCTCCGCGCGAAGAAATAAAGTTGCGGCTCCGAGGAGGGACGAATCCCCTCCCGCAGGGCTCGGGCAGCCGCGGGGAGCCCTGTAGGTGGCTGTCAGCGCCTCATCCCCCCCACCCCTCCCCGTGAACGCTCGGTCCCTCCCCGGGCACAGGCGCTGCCCACCCAAGGAGGCGCCCGGCGCTACTGCCCCGCTGCCGCCGCTCCGCGCACACACAGACACACAAATACGGTGCGTGCGCCTCCGGGAGTCAGCGCCTCCGCCTTCAGGTTGCTCAGACCTGAAACCTACGGGGAATCTCAGCGTTCTTGTCGCCGCTCCTGCTGGTGGAAGCGGTGAAGAGGAGAGATTTTTATTACTATTGTTATTATTATTTTTTTTCCCCCTTCTCCTTATATTCAATGGATCGGAACTTGGAGTCTTTGCACCTCGGCGGTTTCGGAATATCTACATGCTGAGCCTCTTTGTTGTGGCACATCGGCTCGTTCGGTGGAACCATCCGGAGACGGCACGATGTTCCTCGCGCTGCTCTACTTGGCTCTGCCCTTAGCGGGTAAGTTGTGCGGGTGTTCTGCGCCCCGCGGAGCCGGGCGAGGGGCGTGCGGGGCCGGGTGCCCGGTGGCTGTCAGCCCACCGTTCGGACAGGAGAGTGAAGTTTCCACTACTTTGCACGGCTCTGCCTCTCGCATCGCTCGGCCGCTGCAAGCTTTGCGAGATGATAGGCTTAGCGACGTTGGGCTCCGGCAAGTCGCAGGTAAACTTTTCATTTTAATGGAAAAAGGCTGCTGAAGGGACGAGGAAGGTGGCAGCAGCCTGTGAGGGCTAGCCGCCCCAGCCTGGCAGCCCGCCCGCCGCAGGCATCCCTTGCGCCCCGAGGGGTCCGCCTCTCCGCCCGCGTCTCTGAGGGAGCGCGACGGGGGCACGGAGGAGCGGAAAGAGTTAATGTAATTTGCTTTGTTCTCATGCGAAAGCATCGGGCTGAGGAGAACGGGAAGAAGGAGACCGTAAATTCCCGTTTTAGGATATGTGTAGCATAAGCAAAACGGTGTGGAGCCTTTAGAAAGTGACTGACGCAGAAAGGAGGCTGATATCAATCAGCGCGGATGCGTCTCTCGCGGAGCGGCCGTGCTGTTGGTGGCTGTGATGGAAATCACTGCACAGCTCGCGGAAAGTCAGGCCGAGTGCTTAACCCCGCTGTTAAACGCTGGAGCGGGAAGGGTATCTGTTTCACCAAAGCGGATCCGGAGAGGGATGAAGGCTCGTTCTGCCAGGCACGTTAACCCCTGTGGGTTTTCTTTCCTTTTTGCGTTTCCTCATAAATCGACCGGCAGGGTTAAGGCGTACTCTTCTTCCCTCACACTCCCACAGAAGCGGATCTGGCTGTGAGAAGCCCACGTGCTTTAGGCCGTGCCCGAGCTTCGCCAGGTGCTGCCCGTGGGCTTTATGCAGGGAAGTGCTTCGTGTTGCTCGGGCTCCTGCCCCGGAGCGCCGCTTGTGGCAGCCCCATCCCACAAAGAGAGTGTGTGTTGGTTTGTGTCTCCTCTTTCCAGACGTACTTCTGTCCGCAGAAGTCAGCGGGCTGCCCGGAGGGGACCGCCTCGACTGTGTGAAAGCCAGCGATCAATGTCTCAAGGAGCAGAGCTGTAGTACTAAGTACAGGACACTGAGGCAGTGTGTAGCCGGCAAAGAGAGCAACTTCAGCAGGGCGACAGGCCTGGAGGCGAAGGATGAATGCAAAAGCGCCATGGAGGCTCTCAAGCAGAAATCTCTGTACAACTGCCGCTGCAAGAGGGGCATGAAGAAGGAGAAAAACTGCCTGCGTATTTACTGGAGCATGTACCAGAGCTTACAGGGTACGTTGCAAAACAGAAACATTACATTCCCCCTAATGCAGCCCCTCACATCTGCAGCTAGCTGCTGCCACTGAGGCTAAGCCGGGGGTCTGACCTCGTAATTCACATTGTGCTCTTCAGCTGCAAACTGAGGACCTTTCATCCGACTCGGGAACAGCTGCTGTTCCATCTCCTGTTGTTGGGAAATCCACAATGAGGGTTTCCTCCAGGGGACCCAGCTGACCTTTCTAAACCAGAGTCAAACCAGGGCATTAGCAAGTGCAAAAGCTACAAAAACAGTCGCTTGGAGATGTTTTCCCAATATTTCAACTCCTTAATTAGGACTCACCTAACAAGATCACAGAACACTGAAACAGTAAAATGTAACATGAAGAGGAGCATTGTTTTAAAGAAAAGTTTATTGTTCCTGGTGTTTGCTAGCAATATTCCCTGGATATGCTGAGGCAGAAAAGAGAAGTTCATGCTTCCTAGAGCAGTAGAAGTGCCAGTTAGGAGGGATGTGGCAGTGACTGACTTGTGACTTCTGTTCTCATTGATGTCACTGGCTGGTTTCCCACAGTCTGCTGAGAATAGCGAAGTCCTTATGAAAGATATCCTTTTTGTCCCTGTTTTTGCTCTGGTCTTGGAGTTATAGATGCTGTCCTTCATTTCCATGTGGTCCCCGCTTAACTATTTTGGTGTATCTTTTGTGTTGTTCCACAAAAGGCAGTCGTCCCTTTTAGTTCAGTTATCCAAGCATCTACTGGAAGGTTGTCATGAGTCGATATATATTTGTGTTCTAGCTTTCATAATAAATTGCATGACTCTCAGGCATTTTCTGCATCATAAATAAATTTTCCTTCCAACAGTATCTTGTTAGGAATGTTTTGTTCCAAAGATGCTCATTTTTTGGCTGTTACCTGGACTGCTCTTCTATTGTTAGTGTAGTGAAGAGGAACTTTCCTGCTGGTGTATTGAGATGGGACAGATCTGATGATGTCAGACTGTCACTGCAAAACAAATCGTGACCTTATTCATGGGGGAAGGAGAGAAAAGAGCTAGTGATGGGGATAAACAACTTGCTTCTTTCAGGTGTTTATATATATAGAGAGAAGTAGCCATGCAGATACATTAAAGGGAATTACCTATCAAGTCTATTGCAGTTACTTCATTTGATAGTCAGCAGCAAAATCTTAGCTTGAATTCTTGTTTTGAAAAAAAAAATGAACTTTTTTTTGTCTTTAGGAAATGACTTGCTTGAGGATTCCCCCTATGAACCAGTTAACAGCAGGCTATCAGACATATTCAGGCTAGCACCGATTGTATCAGGTAAGCAGACTTAAAATTCTTTAACTGAAACATGAGTTGAATTCTGGAACTTTCATAACTCGTGGAACAGTACCTTCTTAAGTAAAGATATGAGTTGGTGACTTTCTGGATTTAAGAAGTTCACAACATGGTTGGTTTTGTAGTAATAATTAAAGCTGAAGGAGTTCTCGACAGGATGGCAGTTTCTTGAGTCATTCTTAACAATAAATGCTAAATGTTCCTGTAGGTGGCAATCTGATTCCCTGTGTTCCTGATTCACAAATCAGTTCCTTTTTGGGAATGTGGTCAGTGCAAATTACCTCCTGTTCGCATTCAAGAACATCAGAAGATAATCTTTCAAATGTTTTCATAAGGCAATGCTTTACAGTTTCAAACAGTTTTGTTATTTTGTGCCTTTCAGAACTTGCTCGTATTAATTACAATGTTATTCATTAATTTAATTATGCTGTTTGTTTGCACTGGACTAAGTTACATTCATTTTGGATGATGAATTAATTGAAACAATGAATTTGGGACATCTACAGTGGTTGAAGGTTGGAATTTAAATTCTTTTTCACAGTTTCAGAAAGTCTTCTGAGGATGCGCTCTGCACTCAGGACTTTGTTTGGTTACATAAAGAAACTGAATGTGCACAATGGAATATGCATGTTCCATATATGTGCACAATGTAACATGATGTTAAGCTGAAGTTAACTGACATGGTACAGATAAGCATTAGTAGATTGCTCTTCAAAGGAAAAAAGAAAAGAATGGAGAGAATGGCTTGACCAATTTTCAGCATTGCTTGCACTTGTTAGGACCTTAAGTCTCATTAAAAGCTGGGGGATGTAGGTTGTTAAGTATTTAATGGTACGGATTTTCAAAGGCCTATAGACACATAAAATGTAGATAACTGCCCACTGGGATTTTCAGAAAGGGCTAAGTGATTTAAATAGGTGCTAGATGCCCAGGCATTTAAAAAAATTCTAAGTGCTTAATGCATCTTTAGGTATCTTAATGCCTTTGAAAATCGGCCCTTTAGTCACTTTTCAAAATGTAACTTCAGATCCAAATTGCATACATCTTTTGAGAGCATTGCCTTAGTTTGATGATCGAGTCTATTGCAGAAGTAGGGAGAAAAAGAATTTCTGAAAAACTTCATTCATTTATTTATCACTTAAAAAACAAACAATCCAATTTAGTATAAAAGCAAGACAAAATCAGGGAAGAGGTCTTCTAGGCTGTTTTCTTAAACAAAAGGGGCAAATTCTAACCTATCTTTGCAGTGTTATATGCTACTGAAACACCCTCTGCTTTCTGTTATGTGTTAGATTGCCCATTTTCTTGCAAAGTAATTTTTTTAGTAGTGCAGTAAGTTTCTCTACTTGTTGTGTTCAGCAGCAAAGTAGGACAAGTGACTTCTTTCCTACCACAGCCACTTGGGTTGCTGGTGGATTGCTGAGGACTCGGTCAGTGTTAATGGTACACCACAAATTGCTGTTTGCTTTGATGGAAGTTTCAGTCTAACAAGGATTGGAGGCCTGGATTAACAGGGAACAAACAGAAGGTGTCATACAGAGGAGAACTACCACTGTTTGGAAATATTGTCATTTTGGAGAAAAAGAGTAGCAAAAGCATTTTGCTTATCGTCATGGTTACTGCTGCATGTAACGTTCTTTAAAGCTGCCTCCTTAAAGTTTTGCAGGGCTCTGCATACACCCCAAACAGCAGAACTGTGTAAGAGATTTGTATATCTTGATTTAAACAAACAAACAAAACCCTGTGCAAGCAATGTTGGCAGGCATTTCATAACTGCTAATACAGTTATTGCTGCTTTGAGATGTTTCTGTAGTGTTCCTTCTCATTAAAGTTACTTGGGTGTAATTAAAAGCAGAGGTTAGCCCTACTATCTCATGTAGGTTACTCTATGGTACTGTGTGACTTGGTATATATCAAGGCTGTTGGTTCAGCTGTGCTTTTTTGTTTTCTGCTTATTTTTGAGACAATATAGCAAATCATTATAATTGGCTTCTATCGTATGTGGGGTGGGAAGGAACCATTTGCCTAAGATGACTATTTTGTTACATCAATCTTTTGAATTATACATATGTCAAAAGAACAGAGGGCAGTTTTTAGAAGGAGTTAAATTTGGCCTAATTTTGTGCTGAAGGAAGTTGAAAATTGTGTCCTTCTCTTAAACAGAACCCTGTTTTCTTGTTAGGTGTTGAAGCATCAGTATGTTGACTTAAAACATTATGCAGGAATATATATATATTTTTTTGCTTGACTTGTTCCTAAGTTTGTAGTTTCTCTCAAGTTCCCATTAACTTAACGGGAAACAAATGATGAGGTCACAATATTAAAATGAAGCTTTGTTTTATATTTTCAAGTAGCCAAAGTTGTACTGAGACTAGTGGTTTAATTAATCTGGAACTATAAAGACAAAGTGTTCCATACAAACTTCAAAGCGAGGTTCAACAACATTGTTTTGAATGTTGAACAAACTGAAACATATAGAAGCATAAAGATGGCTAAAACAAATATGTGCTCAGTGTTTGGTTTACATGTGAAAATGTACCCTGTGTGTTCAGAGTGCTGCCTGAACTTCCTTCCTTTCCATCTGCGCTTTAAGTTCAGGATTCAGCTCTTTCTATGAAGCCAGTCTTCTGATACCCACATTGCCAAACCCAGGACTGAGAGCCTTTGCTGTTGAAGGGCAGGGCTGTCTTATTCTTCTGATTTGGATTTGTCTGATTTTTCTTTAGAAATACTGTGTCTGATGCAGCACTTCTTCCTCAAGGTTGTGAATTACTCTAGTAGGCAGCTCTTGAAATTACTGAAGACCTCTGTGTGTGTTTCAGAGAGTAACAGATTTGGGTTACTTATTGTGATGTATAAGCTTTTTGCTTAAACAGCAATTTTTGCTTAAATCTTAACAGCTTCTGAGAGGTGAAAACATTCTAAGGCCCTTGACTTCTATCACAGCTATAGTAAAGGCAAAATCTGTTGATTGGATTTTAGAGTTGAGTTTCACACCAAATTAACGGTACATGCTTGAGTTAGTTTGTCACTTGTTAAAGCTATCTACAGCTTTTCACTACCTGGGGAACAGTTTGGTTCTTGAATTTGTATTTTATTTGACATTGACCCTAATGACTGGAAGATATCTTACTATTTTGATATCAGCTGATACAATGTAGTTGTCATCTCTGTGGCATATTTCAAGAAAATATCTTGCATGAAAACTGTGGAAATACTAACAAAATAAACGTTGCTGAAATATCGCATTCATTTCCATGCAAAGTTGAGAGTCACTGAAGCCAAATAAAAAGCCTTAAGCCTTGGCTGTGAAGTGGTGTGGACAGAATACTTAATGTTAAAATGATTTGAATATTTAGATCAAGATAATTGGGATGGCATAATGCTTCTGCCTATGGATTCATTTTTAAGTTACTTACTGAAGTACAGGCTTAATAACCCACTGTTCAGCCTTGTGTATCTTTATTTTACATCTACCATGTTAAAAATAAATAACATACAACAAAAATCAGAGTATTTCTTTAAAAAAAAAAAAACCTGAAGTTTTACTAGTGTAAGAGAACTGTTGAGTCACGGCCTGAGCCACTGATTGATCACCTGGGTCAACCATGGGAGCACAGGTGAGGGCAATTCAGCTGTGTGACTGGAATTCTACACCTTATTTAGGGGCTGATAACACCGGGGAAGGATCTCTTTCTGGAGATCCCTCCTTTAAGGAGCATTTCAGTGTGAGCCGATATCTTTGGATATGGGTGAGCATTCCTTCTTTGTTTATTCCTTTGCTATCTCACTATGGTACTGTTTCCAACTGTACGTTGGTTGACTGTACAACTAGTAATCTGTGAAGAGGTGGTTGGTTACCTGCTGCTGCTTGTGTCTTGTTGCTAGTTGTTAAAGTGCGAGACAACTAGAAATTAGTAACTCTGCCAGTATATCTTTTTAATGTAGTAAACAGTTTTTTGCAGAGTGTGTTGTATCACTAACAAATGAGAGAGAAACTGGCTTGTATGTTTGCATGTCAAAAAGGAGAGTTGCCTGATTACATATGTCTCATAAAAGGCTGTTTACTCTTGTAGGCAGTAAGTGGGAGCTTACATTTAGAAAAGGGTATCACAGAATATCCTGAATATCCACAAAGATCACCAAGTCTGACTTCTGGCTCCACACAGGACCAGAAGTCAAACCATATTTCTGAGAGTGTTGTCCAAATGCTTCTTGGACTCTGGCCATCTTGGTGCCTTGGGGAATGCATTCTGGTGTATACTTTATATTTAATATGATAATTTTTTTCTAAAAGGGCGAGTTCAGTAGATAGCACAGCACACACAGGGTTTCTTACTGGGGTGTCCATTTTCACATTGGAACAACTTGAGGATCTCTTAGAAATGGGTTTGGGTCTCCCTCTGGGATGCCTGTGTGGTTCAGAAGGAAGGACTGTTTGTGGTGTTTGCCATTCTTCTTCTGAGCCGTTGGATGTCTTGTAGGCATTTTGTATCGTGGGAGTTCACAGATCAGTGTTAGCATTGGGAATGGAGGAACTACAGTATGAACATCAATATGGAGAAAGGCTGTTTCTCAAAATGGATTCACAGTATGCAGAGGAATAGAGCTTCCTAGTCCATCTGCTTAAGACTCTTCATTTTCCTTACTCTCATCCCTTTTCTTTTTGCTCCTTCTATGAAACACGGGGTTCACAATGGGAAAACTCCCCATCATTGAATATTAGTACTGTCTAAAGTTTCATAACCCTGAAATTATTTTAATCAGTAATTGATTATGTTTCCCCATACACTTTCACAATTCCTGTAGTTGCTGTGTTTCAGGTAGCACGTCTCTGAACCCTCAACTGTCAAGTGGTTCTTTTTTTTTTTTTTTTTTAATGTAGTAAATTACTTGCCTTTCATAGAATCCATACAAAGTTGTTTTCTTCTGTGTTTTTTCTTTTTTCTTTTCTTTTTTTTTCTTACATGTATTTAGGGTAT